GGGCTGGTTTTTAGGGCTTTTGGGGCCAATTTTTGGGTTATTTTTAGGGTTTTTTGGGTCAATTTTTTGGGGATTTTGGAGGCTTTTTAGTGATGATTTTTGGGGATTATGGTGCTGATTTTGGGGATATTTTAGGGGATTTTGGGGCCGATTTTTGGGGCCGATTTTTGGGGATATTTTCGGGATTTTGGGGCTGATTTTTGGGGATGTTTTTGGTGATTTTGGGGCCGATTTTTGGGGATATTTCCGTGGATTTTGGTGCTGATTTTTGGGGATATTTTCGGTGATTTTGGGGCTGATCTTGAGGCCGGTTTTCGGGGATATTTTCGGGGATTTCAGGGCCGGTTTTGGGGGATATTTTCGGGCATTTTGGGGCTGATTTTTGGGGATATTTTCGGTGATTTTGGGGCTGATCTTGAGGCCGGTTTTTGGGGATATTTTAGGGGATTTTGGGGCTGATTTTTGGGGCTATTTTAGGGCATTTTGGGGCTGACTTTTGGGGATGTTTTCGGGGATTTTGGGGCCGATTTTTTGGGATATTTTCGGCCATTTTTTGGGCCAATTTTTTTAATTTTGGGACCGGTTTTTGGGGATATTTTCGGCCATTTTGGGGCCGGTTTATTGGGATGTTTTTGGGGATTTTTTGGGCCAATTTTTTACATTTTGGGGCTGGTTTTTGGGGATGTTTTCTGGCATTTTGTGGCCGATTTTTGGGGATGTTTTTGGGCATTTCGGGGCCGGTTTTTGGGGATATTTTAGGGGATTTTCAGGCTGATTTTTGGGGATATTTTAGGGGATTTTGGGAATATTTTTGGGTATTTTGGGGCTGATTTTTGGGCACATTTTAGGGGATTTTGGGGCTGATTTTTGGGGATATTTTCGGGCATTTTGAGGCTGATTTTTGGGGATATTTTCGGGCACTTTGGGGCCGGTTTTTGGGGATGTTTTTGGGCATTTTAAGGCTGATTTTTGGGGATGTTTTCGGGCATTTTAAGGCTGATTTTTGGGGATGTTTTCGGGCATTTTGGGGTCGGTTTTTGTGGATGTTTTCGGGGATTTTAAGGCTGATTTTTGGGGATGTTTTCGGGCATTTCAGGGCCGGTTTTTGTGGATGTTTTTGGGCATTTTAAGGCTGATTTTTGGGGATATTTTCGGGCATTTTGAGGCTGATTTTTGGGGATATTTTCGGGCATTTGGGGGCTGGTTTATTGGGATGTTTTTGGGGATTTTTTGGGCCAATTTTTTACATTTTGGTGCCGATTTTTGGGGATGTTTTCGGGCATTTCGGTGCCAGTTTTTGTGGATGTTTTCGGGGATTTTAAGGCTGATTTTTGGGGATATTTTAGGGCATTTCGGGGCCGGTTTTTGTGGATGTTTTTGGGCATTTTAAGGCTGATTTTTGGGGATGTTTTTGGGCATTTTGAGGCTGATTTTTGGGGATGTTTTCGGGCATTTCGGGGCCGATTTTTGGGAATGTTTTCGGGCATTTTGAGGCTGATTTTTGGGGATGTTTTTGGGCATTTTAAGGCTGATTTTTGGGGATGTTTTCGGGCATTTTAAGGCTGATTTTTGTGGATGTTTTTGGGCATTTTAAGGCTGATTTTTGGGGATGTTTTCGGGCATTTTAAGGCTGATTTTTGGGGATGTTTTCGGGCATTTCGGGGCCGTTTTCTGGCTGTTTGCCGTGCTTTTCGCGCCGCTCACCTTTGCAGCGCCGGTGGCACTCCTCGAAGGCGCCGGGGTTGGGGAGGGGCTCCCCTCCCCCCTCGGGGGCGCGGGGGGGGAGGGGCGCCCCTCCCCCCACCCCGCTCAGGGGGGGCGGGGCCGCGAACCCGGGGGGCGGCACCGGCAGCAGCGGGGGAGGGGCGGCGGGGGGGGGAGGGGGCGACCCGGCGGCCCAGACGTTGCCCATGCTGGGGGAGGGGCTGCCGAAAAACAAAATCCCAAAAAATTTCAATTTCCCGACCGCGAAATCCCCCGGTTTCACCCCAAAATCGCCCCCCCCCACCGTTCCCGCCGAATCGCCGCGCCAAAACCGCCCCGAGCGAGCGGCGCGGCGCGCCCCCTCCCGCGGCCCGCTGGGGGTGACCCCAAATTTGCTCCAATTTGCCCAAAATCGCCCCAAATCGCCCCAAAATCGCCGCCGTTCCTCCCCCGCCCCCCCACGCCGGACTCACGCGGCGGCGGCCGGAGAGCGCCCAGCTCCGGGCCACGCCCACCGCGCGCTCCCATTGGCCAGCGCTTCCCCGCCCGCGCGCGCCGATTGGCTGACCCCCCCTTAGTCCCGCCCCCTCGCGCTTCTCATTGGTTGTTCCCTCAGGGTTGCGTTCCCCTCCCGCCTTCCCGGGTCAGGGGCGGTGTGGGCCACGCCCCTTTAGTGACGTTGCGCTGTGTGATTGGTTAAGACGCGAGTTGGCCCCGCCTTCGGAGGGTTCCTATTGGTTGGGACGCGCGACCATAGAGGCGCCAAGGGCGCGCGCGGCGGAGCGGCCGCCGCCGGGCGCCGCCATCTTGGGGCGGGCGGCGCTGGAGGGACGTCGCCATGGCAACGGAGAAAGGGCGGGAAAGGCGCCGCGTGACGTCACTTCCGCCCCTCACCGCCGCTGTGGGCGGGGTGGGAGTGACGTCAGAGCGGTGCCGCGGATGACGTCACCGCGGATCATGGGGATTTTGGGGTTTTTGGGGGGAATTTGTTTGGAATTCTGGGGATTTTTGGGGGGGAAATTTTGGGGAATTTTAAAAGAATTTTTGGGGAAATGTCCCAAAATGTCCCCAAAAGGTCCCAAAATGTCCCAAAATTTCCCCAAATGTCCCAAAATTTCCCCAAAATGTCCCCAAAATGTCCCAAAATGTCCCCAAAATGTCCCCAAAATGTCCCAAAATTTTCCCAAAATGTCCCAAAATTTCCCCAAAATGTCCCAAAACATCCCAAAATTTCCCCAAAACGTCCCAAAATTTCCCCAAAATGTCCCAAAAACGTCCCAAATGTCCCCAAAATGTCCCCCAATGTCCCAAAATGTCCCAAAAACGTCCCAAATGTCCCCAAAATGTCCCCCCAATGTCCCAAAATGTCCCCAAATCCCCTCCTGACCCCTCCCCCCACCACGCCCCCAATTTTGGGTTGAAAACCCCCGAAAATCGCTCAAAACACAGAAAAAAAAAAAATCCCGAAAATCGGTTGGAAAATTCCTTTATTTGGGGCCGGATTTTGGGGTGAATTCCACAAAATTTGGGGTCCCATTGGGAAGGATTTGGGGCTGAATTTTCAGGTGAATTTGGCAAAATTTGGGGTGGATTTTGGGGCTGAATTTGGCAAAATTTGGGGCGGATTTTGGGGCTGAATTTGGCAAAATTTGGGGCGGATTTTGGGGTCCCCCGGGTCCCATTTCTGGCAGAATTTGGGGCGAATTTGGCAAAATTTGGGGCAGATTTTGGGGTCCCTGGGTCCCATTTCTGGCAGAATTTGGGGTCGGGATTTGGGGTGAAATTGGCAAAGTTTGGGGCCGATTTTGTGGCTGAATTTGGCAAAATTTGGGGCAGATTTTGGGGCAAATTTGGCAAAAATTGGGACAGATTTTGGGGCTGAATTTGTCAAAATTTGGGGCGGATTTTGGGGTCCCCGGGTCCCATTTGGGGCCAATTTTGGGGTCGGGATTTGGGGCAAATTTGGGGCAGATTTTGGGGCAAATTGGGCTGAATTTGGGGCCGATTTTGGGGTCAGGATTTGGGGCGAATGTGGCCAAATTTGGGACCAATTTTGGGACAAATTTGGGCGATCTTGGGCTGAATTTGGGGCCGAATTTGGGGTCAGGATTTGGGGCCGAATTTGGGGCCGATTTTGGGGCAAAATTGCCCAATTTTGGGCCGATTTTGGGCCGAATTTGGGCTGAATTTGGGGCCGATTTTGGGGCGAATTGGGCCGAATTTGGGGTCAGGATTTGGAGCCGATTTTGGGGCGAATTGGGCCGAATTTGGGGTCAGGATTTGGAGCCGATTTTGGGGCGAATTGGGCCGAATTTGGGGCCGAATTTGGGGCCAATTTTGGGCCGATTTTGGGGCGA